TTATTCATAAAAGCGATATATTTTTATTATGTTTGCCAATACTTGTGTAATGAAAGTCTTGGTGAGATTAAAATAAATCCATAATCTTGAGCAGCATATGATATGATGAAATAAAATAAAATAAAATTTAAGTTTTATTAAAACATATTTCAGTCGATGTTTAGTCTTGCTTATATGTATATTAATACTTACATGAATCAAATTAATAAAACTATTTATATATTCAGTATATATAATTAATAATTCTTAAAACATTAAGAATTGCATAATCTATTCAAACTTTATTTAATAAAAATCATTTTCTATAGTTTTATGAAAGTTTTTAAAGCTATTACTATAATATAATTCAAATAAAGCTTAAAATAAGTTAGACAGTAAAATTAATTTATATTCTACAAAAGTTTTATAATTATTTAATGTAGCAAACCAATTTATTATCAAGGTTGATATTTAGTAAAACTGTTAAACTTTAATACTTTAGTCTAGTTATTTCCAAATTTAATTAAAATCATTTGGTGTTATAGATTTTATGGCTATAAATAGTTAGCAAACATTCAAAGAACTCATTTGAGTAACAATTTGTAACATTTTATTATAATGACTTAAATATGTTTATTGCAAACATCTATGACAAGCATTTACTCATTACTGACTACTGTATATATATTTAAATATATTTTTATTAATTTTAAGAAACATTAAATTCTACTATAATTAATGAAAATATTTGTTATAAAAGCAAAAATAGCAAAATAACATTCACAGAAATATCATGTAAATTAACAAATTAAATAATTATGATTCTAAATTTAAAATAACAATTTTTTAACATGATATGTGCTTGCTTGAAAACAGGTGTAATGATGTGCAAACTAGTCGTGGCACTGGAGGCCACCTCGATATTCGTGTCGACCATCAGCATCACTGCCATTGCGTTGGACAGGTATCAAGTGATACTCCATTCTGGTGGTGAAAACCGTATGTTTGGCTCTCTATTCAAACTGTTGTTTATATGGTTTTTCGCTATAATGCTGGCCCTCCCGCTCTTCCTATTCCGCACCGTCGAGACCCACGAATTGAGTAATTATTTCATTTTCATTTACCTTGTTTACTCTACAGTATTGTTTATCTCATTCTGTCTATGGTTTCTCAGGCATTCAGACATTTTCAAAAGAGTTACTCTATACACTTGTATGACATGACAAATACTTTTTTATTGTCTAGACGTTGAACTTATATTTACAGAATATCCACGAAAACAATTGCTTATACTGTGTGACAATAAATCAAATATTAATTCAGTCGAGAGAGTGAGCAAACAATGGATAAGTGCTATTTGTTTGCACTTGTTAACTGTTTTGTGAATTAGAAATTTCATTTAAAAAATCATTCTGAATATTTCAGGTGATATCAATGCTAGTAATATAATATTAGTTAGAAATAATTTTTAAATAAATTATAATAAAAACTTTAAAGTACTAGAAATTTTTTGAATATAATTTTTATCTAGCTAATACATAAGTATAATTTGAAACTTTTTTGAAAACATTTCTTAGGAAATGGTTTATAAACATAAATTCTGGAATTAATATGTCTATAAAATCTACAGCACTCACAAAACAACAGGGACATAGAGTTATGCATAAAAATGTTATAAAAATAAAATTTATTTAGATGAGATTATTCAAAAACCTATCAATTTTAAAGTACTGAAAATCTTAAGCAAAAAGTAGTTTAAATTACAATATTATAAATATATTTTTTTAAATTTTAATACTATGAAAGTAGGTTGTTTACAAAAAATAAAACAAGAAATATAAGCTTAATACATTATTTAAAATAAAAAATTATTTTCTTTTTATTAAACTTTATACTTTAATAAGTAACTTAATATCTAATTCTCCTAGTATATTTTATTATACCAGAATATTCTTTAAACAAAACATTAATTCTATGTATAGATCTTCCGTGGCTTAAATCAGTCAACTTTTGTGTCGAGCGGTGGCCTATAGCTCACGGGAGGGGCTATTATTCGGTGTTTTCGATGGTTTTCCAGTATGTGTTGCCGATTCTCATCGTCAGTATAGTCTACACCAGGCTTTGCCTCAAACTGAAGACACGGGCCATACGTCGCACATCGACCACACAATTACCTAAACTCAAGAGTCGGTTGAAGAAAA